CGGCGTCCTCCATGGTTAAAATCCTCTCCTCCGCTTTTTCAATCCGATCCTCAGCCTCGTCTAGTCTGGTGTTCTTCATCTTTCGAATTTCTTCTTTGATTTCCCCCAAATGCGCATTGTTTTCCTGTCTGAAGCCTCTTAATTCCTGCAATACCGTCTCCCATTCAGCCATAGTACCACTGTTGGTTGCTTAATTCGAGACAAAAAGTGCAGCGGTAATTCTTCAGAACGGAGGTTCGAGATGAATAGCAGTTAGCGTTAGCTAAAATGCTAGCGATATTTTCTCGACTTTAACCGTCCGCTTTTTGGCACTACAAAGCATCGGTTTGAAGTATTTCGCTCACCCCTCTTCTTTTTCACCTTTATAGGTATATTTCCGTCGTTTAAGTGGGGTTGTGTCTTCAATTCCTTAGGTTCTCTCGGGAGCCCGTTCACAGCACGGCCATCACGGTGACGTTCAGACCGGAAGTCCAGAAGGACCAGAATTTATATTGCTTGTGGATGCTGAGGGAGACAAAATAGGAGTTACTTTTTGATCCAAAGCGTGGACCATACCGCCCAATACTTAAGCTTGTCTGAATATTTCTGTTGTTGAGTTAGGATTTGTTGAAAGTAGAGTTCATTCTGTTTAATGTGTTCTTCTTGGAGAGAGATTAGCTTAAGAATTTCATCGTCAGAATTGCCCTGAGTACTCGTGTTGGCCGGATTATTCTGTGAGGAATTTTCAAAAGGAGTACTCAAAATAAGGCAGAATCCAACAATGAATCAAAAACACTGTGATTAGTTTTAAGTGAGCTTATTATGACCCCTGCACGCGTGTAAGTGGGGGTCATATTGTTTTCATACTGTTTATTTTTTCAGTGATTTTTGGTCAACCGTAGCAGTCCAACGTACACTGCGCCAGCCAATGGTTTTACGATAGACCCCATATTTGAGGAGGGGGTTCCTTTCAAAGAGGGGGTGTCTGGACATGCAAAAATTCTTATAACTCAGAAACTGCTAAACATAGGAGTTTCAGATTTTCTTTGTTGTTTAGTTCTGATGAAGCTCTATCCATCAGGCCCACCAATCAGTGCCCCCACCCCCGGACCCCCAACTTATCTAAAAAAGTGGTATCTGGACATACAAAAATGGACATACAAAAATGATTATTGCTCAAAAACTATTAAACATGGGAGCTTCCAATTTCTTTTATTGTTTAGCTCTGATGAAGCACTATCCATCAGGCCCACCAATCAGTGCCCACCCCCCTGGACCCCCAATTTATCTGAAAAAGTGTTGTCTGGATATGCAAAAATGCTTATAACTCAAACTGTTCAACATAGGAGCTTCAGATTTTTTGCTTGTTTAGCTCAGATGAAGCTCTATCCATCAGGCCCACCAATCAGTGCCCCACCACTATACCCCGGAACCCCAATTTATCTGAAAAAGGGGTATCTGGACATACATAAATGGCTTTAGCTCAAAAACCGTCAAACATAGGAGCTTCAGATTTTCGTTGGTTACTTAGCTCTGATGAGGGGCTATCCATCAGGTCAATCATTGCCCACCCCCCCTGCCCCGGACCCCCAATTTATCTGAAAAAGGGGTATGGTTATGGCTCAAAAACCATTAATCATAGGAGCTTCAGATTTCTTTTGTGTTTTAGCTCTGATGAGGGGCTATCCATCAGGTCCACC